AAAACAAACTATCTACGGCTGCTAATGCTAAACGGAAAGAACTGACTCGATAGAGCATCACCACTCTATGCCTACATATTCCCTCGTGCAATGGGAAAGTCAGAGTCAACATAGTTCGGGAAACTACGGGAGGAGGGGGGGGGGGGTTGCTCGCCAAGACGTCGCGTCTTGTGCCTACGTATTCTCGTCTGGTACGAGAAATCAGAGCAAAACGTAGTTCAGGCTAACTACGGGTAAACAGGGTGTTCTCGATCACACGAGGGTGAGAGAAAAGGTAGACGATACTAGCGCACGCATTCTAGCAGTTAGGTGTATTGCTGCTCGACCATTGGAGACTTAGGCGTTACCTGTTTGCCGTAGAACAGACGTAGTATGTCATTGGTTTTAAAGGTACAGGTTACCTAAAGGGGGAAAAGGGAAAAGTGCTCGCTAGGATTATCGCAATCCTATGCCTACGTACTCTCAACAGATATGAGAGATCAGAGCATCCGTAGTTTGGCCAACTACGAAAAATGGTCTCGATCATACGGAGGTGAGAGAAAAGGGGGTCTCGATTGCACGGGGGCAAGAGAGGGGATCTCAATCGCCAGGATGCGAGGGAAAGGAGTCTCGATCGCACGAGGGTAAGAGAAAAGAGTTTCGATCGCACGGGGGCGAGAGAAAAGAGAAACTAGGCCAAGACGCCTAAACAAGAAGGAACTCGGGACACACACGCTAAAACCTAAGGCGTAGGAGCAAATGCGTCACATATTGCCCAAAGGGTATACACCAAACACCCTAGACAGTTGAGTGGAGGCCATCCAACCATCATTTCCCACGTACCTATTGCTTAGAACTCACAATGCTCGACGGTTGATTAAAAGACTTAAATTAGAAAGATGTTACCGAACGGAGTGGTTCCGTTGACCCTTGACATTGTGTGCAAGCTCCATTCTAATCTTCTCCTCTTTTGGTCCTTGATGATGCTTTGAATCGATACCAATGTGATGCTAAACCTTCATAGCTCGACTTATAAGGGAAGTCAAACTTTAAGAGGTCGCATATTGATTTTCGTGCTATGGACAAGATAGAGAAATGATATTGAGGATCGTTCTCCAATTGAATCGTGTCGCACGGACCAAAAATAGCGGGATCTCGTCTTGCGGATACAAGACTTCATCGATCACCAAAAGTCAAAATAAAATTGAAAGATGAAAAGAAATGAGGAGAGAAAGAAGGGGTCTCGGATCCAACATTATTCATCAATAATTTGACTGGTAATGAATTACGGAAATGTCGTCATCGACCCAAAACGGGTGAAGTGAAATAAAGTCGGAAAGTGAGAAAGAAAAGAAAAAGTCGATCTCGGATCCTTCATTTCTCATCAATAATTTGACGGAGAATCGAAGGAAGTCTCTTCATCGACCAAAAAAGATGAAAATGGGACAACATGCCCAATAACAAAAGAGGAATGAAATTCAACTTTAAAAATAGAAAATGTAATAAAAAACTAAGAATTAAAATTACTAAATAAAAATGTTAAGAAATTTAAATAAAACTCTAAAAGAAATAAAATATAATAAACTTCTAACTAAAACAAAGTTTCCAAAAGAAATTTGAATAATAAAAATGAATATTTTACAAAAACAAGTTATATAATATTATTATAAAATATAAATCACATAATAACAATCTATTTTAACAAAATATAATTTATCTACAACAACAAACTGTTTTTAGAAAAAAAATACAACAAACCTACATAATAAAATATTAAAACAATTTAAGAAAAGCAGGAGGGGGTTAAAAGAAAAAACGGGTTGTGTGTGTCCAAACAGTTATGGGCTTGAAAGCCCAAGTCTACATCCAACTGTATCTCTTCTTTTTTTTTTCTCCACAGAAATGAACTTGAAAGGGGGTTATCTCCTTCATCGCATATCACTTTGCCGACCAGAGAGTAAGTCGCGAGAGAAAGCGCATCCATGGAATACCCTCAACCTTCTTCATTTTTGCCTTCCACTCGGTTTCACTGGGTATTTTGCTTCAATCACTCTCCCTTCGTCTCCTTCTCATTATGTTTCTCTGATTTTGAATGGGTTTTCTGTTTTGGTGTTGGTTTGATAAAACGATGGTGGTCGAAGGTTTTGGTTTTAAAATCTAGGTCGTTTTTTGAAGGCTGAGTGCTTACGAGTTGTTACAAGTGGAGGTTGTCGGTTGGTTGCTAATGGTTTTGAAAAAAGAGTTTCACGGAGAGAGGAATTTGTAGGTTCTGAAGAAATCGTGAGATGGGTTTGTGTTATGGATCTGGGTTTCTATGTAGAAGAAGAATGTGGGTTGAGTGAGGAAGATGAAGTTCTTCGGAGGTTTGGTTCTGAGTTGTTGATGATGAAGGAATCTAGGTTTGTACGATTTTGTTGTGATTCTGCGGTGTTTGAGTTTGGAATGTTGTTTCTGGGTTTTCCTGGGTTATTTAGCTTGGAGGTTTGAGTGAATTCGGAGGTTAATGGGTTGTTTTTTGAAGCTTATTTATGGGTTTCGTTTGGTTTCGAAAACTGTTGTGGATGGTGAATGGAAGGTGAGGAATAGAAGGAAGAAAGGTTATGGCCGTATTGAGCTTTGACGGTTACCGACGGATGGGTTTTTTATGGTGGTTTCAGAAGCTTTAAAGAAGGTTAATGGAAAATGGTGTGCTGATGGAGAAAGGGGAATGTGTAAGCTTTTGACGACGTCTCTGTACTTTCTGAACTCTGCAGTTCGATTTCTCGCTGCTGTTGAATTGAAATCGGGTTTTGAAATGGTTTGGTTATTCGATTTGTGAGAGTGGATTGGTTATGAGAAACGGTGTGGAAATTGGGATTGGGAAGTGGAATTCAACTACACCATAGCCATGGGTGTGAAGGTTCTGTTTTTGGGTTTAGGAATTGTTTGAAGTTGATGAGTTTGGATGAGGGCTGATGAGGGTAGGCGGCTGGTAATTTTAGGGTTCTTGGGGTTAGGGGCTGTTAGTGGCTAGGGTTGGTGACCTCCCAGAAGGTGATGATGAATAGTGGTTATATACCACTGAAAGGTGACACGTGGCACATGCTTGGTTAAGCTAATGATCCTGATTAAATGCTGATGCCAATGATTAATTAATTAAGAAAAACATTGATGACTTAATGAAAGCTGAAACTAATTTAATAAAATTCAAATTAAAACACGGTCAGTTAACTCTAAGAAATAATCTAAATCCTAATTAAGGTTAAAATCCTAACTAATCTTAATTAAAAAATTAAACTAAAATTATTAAAACTAAATTAATAAAACTCTAACAAATAAATCTAAAAACAAATAAACTCTAATATCTAATTTCTATTTAAAACAAAAATCTAATAAAAACTCTATTTTCTATAAAAAAAGATTCTATTCTAATTTCTATGAATAATCTAATTAAAAAAACCAAATAAATTTTTTTAGCATTATATTAATAAAACACTAAATTTAAAAACTACTTTCTAAAAATAATTAAAAAAAAAAGAAATGGAAAAATAACCTTTTTGGTCCCTTATCTTTAAAAAGTGCCAAATGAGTCCTTTAACTTTTAAAATAGTGTCATTTTAGTCCTCACCGTCAGTTGCCCCCAAACGACCGTTTGTTTTGTATATCTGGAAGATGAGGTGGCAATCTTGTTCATGATGTGTCTTCCTTCTCCCTCCTCCTTCTGTTGAAATCCCTAAAATAATCTCAAATCCCAAATCCCAAATCCCAATCCCAATCACGAATCCGTAAATTAATCTAGGGCAAGCAAGAAATCCAGATGTTCCTCTTCTGTTTCAAAAACGAAAAGTCGAGATTCAGATGTTTGTAGTCGGTCACGATGGAAGCCCATGTGCCATTGTGGATACATGGTTGTTCTTCAAAGGGCAACTACTGTTAAGAATATGGGAAAACTTTTTTGGGGTTGTCCAAATTATAAGGTATGCAAGCTGGTTTTGTTCTCTGTTGAAATTATGTTTTTGTGTAAATTATGTTTATGTTTCTGTTTATTATCCATCATCCTCTAAATAATGAATCTTACATGGAGGTATGCAAGCTAGTTGTGGCTTCTTTGATTGGTTTTATGAGGAGATGGGTGATGAGAAGGAGCAATTTTGGATCCATAGGCTGGGTGTGGTAACTAAGGGACTTGCTGAAGCAAAAAAGGACATTGAAAAAGCGACAAAATGAAAAATTAGGAAAAAAGCTGATGAAACTTGAAATTGAAATGAAGAATATCATGAAGTGGAAAAAGATTTTGAATTTGATGTTTGTGATGATTATCATTGTATTAGATGTTAGGGGTAGTTAGGTTATTACGGTTTGTTTGGAAGTATTATGTTTAGTTAAAGTTTGTATGACTTCAACATGAATGTAATAGTTGGATTTTAATATATGGATTGTAGCAGTTTAGTTAATTTCAGTTTTTGCAGTTCAACATGAATGAATATAATAGTTTTGGATTATATCATGTCAATGTGTTTTTTATATTTAGTATATAACAGTTTGGATTATGTTTGGTATATAACAGTTTGGTATATAACAGCAACATACATATAACAATTTGGACTGCTTTTAGGTTAAAGTGTTTTACCCAGTTTTGGTTATACATATAACAGTTTTGGCTATACATAAAGCAGCATACATAAAAGTTTGGATTATATGTTTGGTATATAACAGTTTTGCAGCATACATGTTTGGTATAAGCAGTATACATATAACAGTTCTGCTTTTAAATTGATCAAGATTCTTACACTATATACCCGTAGGGGTATATGTAATGTGAAGCTGCTTGCACTATATACCCGTGGGGGTATATACATTGAAGATAAAATCTGAAGCATATTTATTCTGAGCAGCATACATATAACAGTTCTGCTTTTAGGTCACAGTTTTTTATGTTTGTTATATAACAGTTTGGATTATATCACAGTTTTAGGTTCTGCTCTTTGGTATATCACAGCAGTAGAGTACAACATGTTCAAATTATAAACCTGTAATACTTTTCAAAACAACATGTTCATGACAGCAGTAAAATACAACAACTGTAGAACTTGTTTATGACAACAGTAGAGTACAACATGTTCATCTGGTGCCGGTTTCACTGACAGCGGAAAGATTGAAGTTTCATAAATCATTTTCGGATCAGGCGAGGGAGTTTCTAGAAATTTCTCCATGTAACTTTTCCCAGATTTTGCTTCGACAGCAGGTCCATTCAATTGTCTTTTCTTCAGCTTCACTAGGCGAGCTGGATTACTATAACCATTCTCAATACGTTCCTCAAGAAGCAGCTGATGTAATCTGCAAAGATGGAAATAAATTTGAGACACCAGTCAAAAATTTAAAGACATAACCAGTCGAATACCAATGTACCACAACAAAATGATTGGAACTTACTTTGAATGTGTTGGTACAACATTAGGAGTTTCACCGTCCCTTAGCCGCGCTCCTTTCTTCTGTGGAAATGAAACATAATTATATAATCAAATTTGCAAAAGTATACAATTTTTCATTGCATAGAGTTCTTTATTGCAACCCTAGAATAATTAAGAAAAAAACACCAAACACTTATCTGCTTATAGCACATATGGTCATATATGTATGTATCAAAGGCACCGCCATATATGTGGACTTCATAATTCACATCATTTGATTTCAAATTTTCAATTATAATTTACAAACTTTCATCAAGATCCCATCCAACATTACACAGCACAAAGCTCATTAGGATCACACGTTTGCAACCATTCTCCCATAGGAGACTATTTCAATAAATGGTAGAATAAAAAAATTTGTACCTTGACTTTACGAATTCTTCTTTCCCTGTGGACTTGTACAATGGCTCTTACAGATGAAGCTGACTCCATTTTAAAGAATGATGGATCAGTATAACGCTTCAGACATGATGGCAAGCACCAATAACATGCAGTGTAACTAAGCATGAGAAATCTAACCTCCATTAGTAAAAAATGATGAATGGTGAGTTTGAGAGTAAAAGGCTTTTTCAAGTGAAGGAACTTCAGCCTCAAGCTGTTTAACACGAGCTGTAAGACTGTGGCCTCTTGCAACAGTAGTCATTACTTCATCATGTAAATCATGGAAGATCTCAGCAGCAAACCTAATCAAAAAGAGAAGATAAATGCAGGGAATTTGAAATGCTGAATAAGAAATATGCTCAGTAAAGTAAGAACTGATGCTCACTTCTCAACAAAATAAGAGTTTTCAACATAATAAAACCATATTACAGACAGATATACAGAAAATACTATATACTAGCCATTCAAATTTTGCTATTAACATCTCTTTGAAGCATTCGAGAAATTGTTCTGATGATAAACACGCCAATATGTCTGCTGTCTCTCAAGAAGTTTGACAAATTTTACCATTCTGGAGACTATAAAATTTTTATTCTCCATGTTGTTTTAGTTTATATGATATCTAAAATTTAGCTGGATTTTAAAACCATTGATACATGTCTAACAGCATAAACATGACAGAGAAAAGAACGGGTAAAGAAGATGCATAAGCAGAATTACAGGAAACCAATTATAACTGTCCATTGTGTCAAAAAACCCTAAATTAGAGAGAAATGAACTAACCTTTTGATTATGTCTCTTGAATCATCTTCAATCCTCAATCAGAAAATCCTAAATCAGAAAACCCTCAATCCTTCGCGTCTGCAAACCTTGAATCGTCTTCAATGACTCAATGAATTCTCCAAAACTCCAAGATATGATTACACTTCTCCAAGCAGCTCCACCTTGTCGTGCCTTCTTCTGGTCTGGGTAATGGTGGGTAATGGAACCGTTAGAATTGTTTTTATTTCTCTAAGACACTTCATATCCACGTCAACAGCTCCACCTGGACAAACATGGCACGTCTGCAGCTCCACCTGGACAAACTTGGCAATTTTTTTAAAGTTTGACTAACGGCAACACACAGAAGGATAAACGTGACACCATTTTAAAAATTAAAGGACCAACTTGCCACTTTTTAAAGATAAGGGACCAACATGGACCCCGAGCTAAAGTTAAGGGACGAAAAAGATTATTTTGCCAAAAGAAATCTAAAACTATTTTATTCTAAAAAAACCAATATTCTAAATTATTCTAACCATTAAAAATCTAAATAAATCCAATTAAAAATCTATTTAAAAAAAAACAACTAAAAGATTAAATTCTAGAAATTATAAAAAACAATATTAAAAATCCTATTTAAACTATTTTCTAAATAATAAAATAAGACAAAAATAACAATAAAATGCGAAAATGCCATGGAAAAATGGGTGGGCACCGAAATGCGCCGATATTATCAACACGGATTAAATTAATCTAAATCACCTGAAACACGAGCAAAGCGGCTAAAATCATAATAAATTCAATCCGACCGATAACACGGGCAAAATGAGACCTAAATGATATGTAGACAAAAACGAAGCAAAAGCCAGTCAAAGTCGAAAAATCGGTGGGCAAAATTTAGGGTGCAACAATATGATTCTCCAGATTCACTCCCTGCTCCAATCTCCGTCTTGTACATTGATCCTGGACATAAAAATATTATCATTAAAAATGACCTAACGATCAAGCTTACGAATATATGTCAAATTAAAAGAACAACCTGGAATGTAAGGAACAAAATCTAAAGACAGGTTTGGAAGTAGGTGTGGCTAACCCAGGCCTTGAACTTTGATTTTAGAACCATCAGCCAAAGTGATAGAAGGCAAAGAATCAAAATAAGACAAGTGAGATAAAAGGTATTAATTACCAATCATATGATCAGAGGCACCATATTCAAGGACCCAAGTACCAAGAGAAGATTTAGATACAAAGGTTACAGGATTACCCGACTGAGCAACGCCGACAGATAATAGTGGTTGCTGGGGTGCTTTGAATTGTAGGAAATCATTGTAATCATTGGCATAAATAGTAATGTCTTTAGTATTATTCGGTTGAACGACAACATCAACCCGTGGTTATCATTTTTGTTCTCTTGCCTTTGTTCGACAATCAACTTCAATTTAGCCATAAGGATTGCAATAGTTACAGCGAATACCATGACATTGTCCACCCTGTCTTTTGGTTCGTCCACCACAACCATGATAGTGGGAAGTAAGAGTAGACGATTAAGTGGGAAATGGAATCAAGACCGGTCCAAAGGCGTAAGGTGTAGCCAAACGCAACAGTTGTTCACTTACCGTTTCATAGTTAGTAACATTGGATCCTGATAAAATCTGGTTCCGGACAGAATCAAGCTCTAATGGTAGTCCGACAAGTGCGACGATCATGAAATACTTACTTTGTTGTTCAACATAAGTTGTTGGATCTTTGGTAAAGGGCAATAGGGTTGCAAAATTTTCCTTTAACACATCAGGCTTACTCAATTAGGCTTGCATGTCCATATTCTCTAATTTCAAAGAGTTGAGAATCTATTGAATTCATCCAGAAATTTAACAATGTAACTCTGGGATTTTCTCCTTGGATAGTATCTTTGATCCAGATACTTTCACCCAGAAGTAACATATAATCTATTGGATATGTGATGTTCTCCTTTAATATCTTCAACAAGATATGATTTTTTTTAATTTAAATTCAAATTTAAATCTTCATTTAAATCTAAATAAAACTCCATCAAGTTGTCAAACAAATCATCTAATCATATTGTTAAATCAATAACAATAAAATATTTAACAAATATTTTGCTGTAAACACTCTAAAATGCATCATTTTGGCGCATGTTGCACAAGGCTCATATGTCGTACCATCATGTTGGAGCATCACACCTAACATGTCACTTTTCTGCAACATCATTCAACTTTAGCAAGCTAGACCAATCCAAAGGGTCAATCCAATAGGAAGAACAATCTCCATCTTTGGCAAATTGTGGTTGTCATACCCATATTTTGTCCAAGCATTTTAATTTTTAAATTACATTTATATTCATCGGCGTATCATTTCATTTGGTGATGGACTCCTGTAAGAATTCATAAGTCAAAAGTCAACACTTGCATGTGTTAAGAAATTTGACTAAAAATTAATGCATCATGGTACATTAATCATTTAAATCATCATCACATTATTCCATTTGGAGTTTCATAGATCATTATCATACATCATAATAAAAATTCAAAGAAAATTGGCTAAATTTGCATGTTTCTTTATTCAATTTGAAGAAATAAATTCATGACCATTTAATTCATCATCATAATTTTTATTTCGCATTTTATTATTCATTTTCATGCATCATAAAACAAAAGTAAAAAAAGTCATGTTTTGGTACTAAAATACAAAAAAGATCACACTTATTTTGCCAAACCACTCATGCATCTAACACACCTTCAAACTCACACTAAATTCACAATGTAGCACCAATTTGGAGTGCATTACACCGATATTTTGCATCAAATCCAAACCAAATTCAAAATTCCCCTAAATTCCATCAAATTCAAGTGAAATGCACTCACACTTTTCTAAATTTTGTATAATCTCAAATTTAATTCTTAACCTAATTCTAACTCTATATAATGGTGCATTTTCACATCATAAAATAATCCATAAGTCACCCTTTCAATTGTCAAAGCTCTACCAAATTGAATTCTCTACTTTCAAGTTTGTTAATTTTTGAGAAACTTTGAATTTTCACTAATTCTTTTGAGTTCTTGAACAATTGTGTTTCCACCTTCATTGCATTTAATTTACAGAATCATTACCTACACATCTCACCAACTAAAATAGTTCAAATCAAGATCAACAATTTAGTTCGATTTTGGACTTGATTTTTTAAGTTTCTCGGATCTTTTGAGCTTGGATTTGAGTAAAGGATGTTGAGAGGATTCCAAAACTATAAAAATTTATGAATTGGAAGTTTATTTGGACCTTGATTGTTGCACCCTAAAATTTGGCCAACCTTTTCTTAACTTGGCTTGTGTTTCATTTCATTTTCTTCTAGCATTTGCATTGCATAGCATTGTTCATTTAGCAGGGGATCAAGAGGTTGTGCATAGCAAGAGAAGGTCACCAAAAGTATTGAGCCTAAGCAAGGGGTTTACTCAAGCATGAGTGGTTATCAAAGTCATCAAGAGGTGGTCAATGCTCCTTGAAAGAATTGATGGGTGTATGTGGATCAACTCCTAACTTGGAGGCCAGTTGAAGATCATCAGAGGATTGTGAATTCATGATTATGGATATGGTATATTGAGGAAGCTCATTGAAGGCTTTGAGAGCCATGTTGGAGTTTATTCAAGTTGTTGTGTCATGTGTAAGAAGCCACAGTCAAGAGTGGTGCACCTAGGGTTTTCATCTGGTCAACCCTCAGTCAATTGTGAAATTGAAGGAGATTAAGACTCAATTCTAAGTCTTTGTGATCATGGAATATTGTGTTGAGATGTCTAATATATCATTGCAAGATCAAATCAAGAAGAATCAAGAGTGTGAGAAGTTACTAAATTAGGGTTCTTAGTGTAAAATCCCTTGTTTAGTGCCCAACTTCAAGACCACATATCTCCAGATACAAGTCTCATCTCATCTTGACCCCAACATGAAAATTGTAAAGCATATTTTTAGCTTTCTTTTGAGTACTAGAATTCTTTCATCTGATTTCTAGAACTCAAGTTATGATGCTAACAAGTTACAGGTCCTCAGATGAATGTGGTTTTGGTCAACAAAAGTCAACCAACTTCCAAGCTACTTTTGACCTAGAGGGATGTTTCTCCTCACTTTGACACAAACATGAAAGTTGTTCCTCATGATCTTATCTTTCCAAAAAGTACTAGAGGTCTTTCATCTGATTTGTAGAGCTCAAGTTATGAAGCTTGCAAGACAAGGGTATTTTGGGAAATTAGAATTACAGGTCATTTTCATTATAGGTCCATTTCACCACTTTGCACCTTTCAAATGAAAATCTTTCCAACATCAAACTTGCTCCAAATAAGATCAATTTCATCGTCAAACATCAAGTTGTCATT